ACATTCACTTTAATCGTGGGGACAAAATGTACCCAGGTTATCAAAAAACGTGCAAAAAAGCAAAAAAAAAGCTTGTAGGTCGAAGGGTTAATAACATACGTATAAATAAAATTCGAGTAATCATCAATAAAAGTTACAAAATACTTAGGTACCTTCTTCTAATCGGAGTTATTGGTCCTGCAACATCTGTATGCACTCTCTCAAGTATCCTAAACTTTTGTGTAAACTCCAAAATTCAATCTGGTCGTTTTACCTTGTACACAAGATTCACAAAGTTCAACTTTACCTACCCTTAAAATCAGTTACCAGATTATTTTCCATTAATAACTATAAATTTGCATTACAAACATGACCTAATCTGTTATGCCATAATTTGAATTCATCATATTCAGTTCCAATATTTAAAGACTGTATATAATTTACTTTAAAAATAATTTCATTTAAATTATTTGTGTAACCAATTCCGATCAAAATTTTTCCGCTATACCTACATTAACACTTTTCCATTTTCAAATACAACCGGAATATTCGAAATTTCAAACCTTTCAACCGAAAGTAAATTTCTTCTTAAAATAGGGACATAAGAAACATTCTCAATTTTACATTCCATCTCTTTTCCATTTACGTTACATAATACTTCAATATTACCTACTCCAACTGCTTCCATATAATTATGGTTTTTGGCAACAGCTATTTTTATAGGATTTTTTAATTTCATAAAATCATGCAAATAATTTTTATGTACGACCTACACTGTAAGAGCTTATTACGTATCTCATTTTAGCCTGTTGAGTTACCTAATAAGTTGTATTATCGTACTTAGTGTTGTAATGAGCTCATTACATCACTCAGTGATGTAATATAAATCATTAGTGATGTAATATAAACACTGGTGATGTAATGAGCTCATTACGTAACTCATTTTTATTGATAAACGGCACTATTTAAAATTAATTTTTCAAAAACTATTGTGAAAAATTAAACCATTTCGAATAGATGAAAAAAATCTAAGTTGTACATAAAATGTTGTATATGACACGTACAGTAACGCTCATTACACCACTCGTGTGATTACCACGACTTGGTCTACGACCTCGTCTTGGCAATATTCCCGACTCGTTACTGTAATGAAGCTCATACCGTACTAGTACCTAATATAAATAACTATTATTATTGATTAAGTGATCAGCACATTCCGAGTCGATATAAAATAATAAATTTTGATTACTTACATTTTTGCAGGTTTCTAAACTTAACTCCAAATCTGATATAAAACTGAAACTTTTTTCATCTTGTAACTCACTATGTTCTGCTTTTCTTGTATTAACCACATAATTTGCACTTCTATCAGTTCTATCGTTGTTTCTGTATTGATATTCACCATCATTTTAATTTCCTCTTTAACCATTTCCTCGAAAATTTCTTCTAAAACCTTCAAACCCTCGACCTTTGTCAAAAGCACCTTATTAACCATCTTGACTTAAACCTCTCTGTCCTCTGAATAGATTATGATTATATACAGGTCTCTGCTTTCTACAGTCTTTCTTATAATGATCCCTTCGACTACAAAAATAACATATTCCTGATTGATGAGTTGAAAAAGCTGATGGGGTTACATTGTCTTGTCTGTCATTGCTACTTCCACTACTAGCTTCGTATAATAAGAATAAGAATAATTTATTCAATAAATACCATTCTACTACAATTTTTATTCTTTTTTTTTTACTTAATGAAGAAATGAATAAATTGAAATGCCGACTAAAGTTTATTTAAATAAAGCTTGTGCGGCGACATGTTTAAATTTTTAGTTTACTGGATATTTATGGTTGACTGTTAAGTTATGTCATAAAATTAAATCTATAGATTAATTGTGGAAACAAATAATATATATTATGCAATAATCATGTAATGATAGCCATTGATACACGAGCAGGCGAGTTTCGTATATAAATTCGAGTGTATTAATGACCATTACATGCGATTTTTTCTATTCCTGTCTTTTTCTTCCACAGGTCGATTAAAAGGATGCAAATACACTCAGTGCGCACTGACTCTACCAATCGGAAACGCCATAAGTTTTAAACGTCATTTGGGCATAAATTCCGCACCCGATTTATTAATTTTTTGTTGTTTCTTTTGATAAATACTGATAAAAAAAATCCAAAATTCCAAAACAAGTTATTTTTATATAAACATTGTTCATGTTCAAAGTAACTCCATTCGAGTGGCTGAAAAATCTGTATCATAATGAAGTTCATTATGAAACAGATTTTAAGCGTAGGTATTATGAAACGTCACTAGAAAATAGTATATTACATACCGAGTAGGGAAGTGTTTCATTACTGTCGAGAGATTAATCGAGACGCGAAGCGTCGAGATTGACTATTAATCTCAAGACATAAATGAAAACTTTCCTCCGAGGTTTGTATACTATTTTATTTGCAATCGTATATGTAATCTTGACATTACTGACTTTTTAAAAATTTGGAAGTGTCACTTTACCTGTGTCACTTCCCTCTTCGATTTCCCTCACCGATTTCCCTATTCAACTTCCCTCACCGATCTCCCTCACTGTAATTTATTTACCTTTGCTTGTAACAATGAGAACATGTCAGGTAAAAACGTCAAAACAGTGAATGATACATTTTGGCAAGTTTGTTTTATTCTTTATTATTAAAAAATGATAAAACTAATTTTGAATTAATGGTGTGTTTGCAAATAAAATAGTATACAAACCTCGGAGGAAAGTTTTCATTTATGTCTCGAGATTATTAGTCAATCTCGACGCTTCGCGTCTTGATTGACTATTTAAATCTCTCGACAGTAATGAAACACTTCCCTACCCGGTATGTAATATACTATTATTTGCAAGCAGTATTCATTTTTTAATATTAAAAAAATGAAACAAACATGTCAGAATCTTATCATGTACTGCTTTGACGCTTTTACCTGACAGGTTTTCATTGTTGCCAGCAAAGGTAAATAAATTAGAGTGAGGGAAATCGGTGAGGCAAATCGAAGAGGGAAGTGACACATGTAATGTGACACTTCCAAATTTTTAAAAAACCAGTAATGTCAAGATTACATATATGGTTGCAAATAAAATATATTATTTATTATTTGCCACCAGGGCGACTGAAATATTACACAATCCTAGGTTGTTCTTTAAGTCAACCAATGCATGAGTTTCATTTCTAGGTCTTTGGATAATCCATTTCCGTACTTTATATCGAAATAGTTTCAGTGACGTTATTGTTTTTAAATTTGGGCAGATTTTGTTGAAAGTTCTTGGACCTAAGAAATGAAAACTTCTTTAGGCGTGTGTCAAGTCTATTTTGGGAATTTTAAATGTTAAGTGTTGATTTTGCCTAGTTGAATATTTGTGTTCTACTTTACTTTCGCTCTTGTACACGGAAAACTGCTTTGTTATTATGGCATGACAGTGAAGTTGTCGAACATCCAAGACTCCAGATTTCTCATATTCGATCGGGTAAGAATTTATTTTCCAAAAATTATTTTTAAGTCCTATTTCTGAGCCTTATCCAACTTATCCAGGTAGTTATTTGTGACTCTACGCCAAGCAACAATTCCATATGTAATGTGGTTCTGCACCAGAGCAAAGTAAACAGTTTTCAAGTGACTTACATCTAGAATTTCCTTCACTTTACGGAATTTATCCAATAAAGATCGTATTTTTTTGGTTATGTAGTCTACGTGCTTATCCCACTTTAAAAACTGGTCCACATATATACCAAGATACTTAACATGCGAAACTCTCCCAATAATCACATCTTCCCATGCACAAAAAGTGGTTACAGTGAGATGCTGATACTGATGAAGCTTCGATAACTGTAATGCAAAAGCCACAAAATTGGTTTTTAAAGAATTGACCATCAAAAATTTACATTTGAAAAAATGAAAGATTTTGCTTAGCGCGATTCTTATAAGAAAAGCATACTAAATTTCAGTATTCAAGAACTATATTTACAACAACAATCTATCGTATACGCATGAGTTATGTAAAATAATTCATATCGAATGAATAACATTATAAATACAATAATTTGCGTTACTAGTTTAATGAAAAAACTAGGGTGCTATCTTCGACCATTGAACACTCTCTCTCTCTAGACTAATAACGATAATAATGTGCTATAGAATTTGTTTGGTTCCAGAATGAGACCAGGCCCTCTTTCTCGCACTTATGAAAATAGAATGTTTATAAACCAGTCTGTTTATGTTTTGGGTATCAGAGAGCTGCGTTCGAAAACCTGGTTGTTGGTATGGAAATTATTTCAGGGAGTGCATCTTCAAAATGTGAGCTTAAATTTCACTCTAGAGTATTCGGTGCGCACATCAATACGTGTCAAACACCTTTCCGAACGCCGAAAACCATATGATTTTAATCCACACTTCGCCTTTCCGAACGGCAGCTGTGTGATTTTTATACGACACACCAGGTTCTCGAACGCAGTCAGCTGATTTGTCACAAGAAAGTTGAGAACACCATGAGAACACAAAACAATTACTACGTTATTGCCAGACTGTAAAATCTTTCTTTAGAAGTAGGTACATAGTTCTATTTAAAACCAAATTGAGTCGTGATAAAAGGTATTGTTGTTTTAGAATTATTTTAAGTATAGACTTAAAAAGTCGCAAGTATATTTTTAATATTATTATAAGCAGACAAATTTGAAATAGATACTTTTCGATAGATGACGATATTCATTATTATCGAGATTATTATTCGAACAGGAAAAAATTCGGCAACAGGGCCTTTTTTCGTTTTGTTTATCGGATGAATCACCCCTCTGACCCCGCTACCTCATTATGGAACAAAACAAATATGCTTGTTGATCCCTCTAGCAGTTTAAAGCTCGATGGGTGCTATGAAGTTGTTGAAAATAACCATTTATCAATCTACACAATATTACGAAAATTTTGATCTTATAGCTTCTAGAATGAAGAGTTGATTATTCTACATTATTTTTTGTTTTCAGGAACTTACTTTCTACTCTACGACTTTATCGACTTTTTCGAAAAAGACGGGCCAAGTTTCCTACAAAGGGAAAAATACCACGACATTATCGACACAATTTTCAAGAACTTCACCAAACTTGAAAGGGACGCCATAGTGTTCGAGGTAATAAAGTTGATTGAATAAAATATTGTTATTGTAATTTTATTTTTCACTAGTATACGGAATGGGAACACGTGAACGATGGTTATTTGAATCAAAAAATGGTCGGAAATGTCGTAGGCGATTACTTTTTCGTTTGTCCGATGAACGAGTTTGCCGAAAAGGCAGCTGAACGAGGCATGAAAGTCTACTATTATTATTTTACTCATGTAAGTATTACATTTTTAATTTAATAAAAATTAATTAACTCTCTGACAAGTTTCCCCTGTCTTCTGATGATATTGACTTTACGTTATAATTTCATTAAATTTCCAGATTGCTGTTTTCCCGATGAACAAAAATAAATTAAAAATCAAATCAATTATTAACGAGTACAAACCAAAACGTATAAGAAATGACATTTCTCAAGATTATATCATCTATGCTAATTAATTTGTGTGATATATAATGTTCGCGCGCTCCTTATATTTCCAAGACATAAATGTGTGCGGTTCATTACTTTGGCACCTTCCCTTGATGCCGTAACTTAATTAGTCTGATTAAAATCGATTAAGCTTAGGAGGGAGGAAGGGCGACCCTGTATTTCAGATCGGGTTAGAGATTAATTTCGTCCTTTAGTGAAGTTATTAAGATTAGATTTATGGGTTCGGAGATACCACGAGTGTCGTTGACATTTTAGGAGCTCTACCTGCTATTGCTCAACCAAACATTATTAGAATTCAGAAATATACAGGAACACATAAACAATTTTAATTAGGATATTAAAGTTTCATGTACGTTGGATGCAACCATCAAGAAAACATTCCATGATCTCCTTTGATGATATCGTAGAAGACGACTTGATGGCCTGAAAATAAACTCCTTAATCCTCCTCTATCAGAAATCATTTGATTTCAATCCTGGACCCCATAAATAAGTTGACTTATTATTAACGGAGATATGACGGTTCCAATGAAGCTATCTCTGAAAATTTCGCCCAATAAATCCCACTGGCAAAGATCTCCTATTCTATTCTTATTGTCGTTTTCTGATCGCTATATACGTTTTTTATGTTATATTTAAGATGACGTCATCGAATATGGAAAGACAATATTGTCAATGCCTATTTTTTTTTCTTATAATCTACCAGAATGTCATGGGTCAATAATGCTGACGACACCTCAGACATCCTAAATATAGCGTAAAAATCCTATATAAACCAATTCTGGAGCCGCACACTGGATTCCTCTTACACTGAAAATCATATCAGCTGTACCTCGGTTGAGTTTAAAGCCACACTGTGTCTCTAGGAGGTTCTCTTCGATAGTTGGGATTAGAAGATTTGATAATATCCTGGCAAATATCTTAGAAGGTTATGATATTTCTCCATCGTCTTTTTTTTTTTGAAATCGGCAACTAAGTTCTTAAAAATAATTATTTATTGTATAAGTTCAACAAAATCCTTAATTAAACATTGTCAACAATTTCTAAACAAAACAAAAATCTGTATCGCAGATGGCCCCTCTCTTTCACGTGTATGCTCCTAAATAAACGCTTGTCGCTACTTGTTTGGAGCAGGCAGAACAAATTCCATTAGATTAAAATCGATCGAACAAACATTTGGGCCTAATTACTGATTTTGAACCTTCATAGTTTGCGTCCTCCAATAACTTTCGACAAACCATTTCGTAAAAACTTTTTTTTCGATTTACTTGATGGATTTTCCATCGTTTAAACTAATTTTTCCTGGAATTGCACCGATTGACTAAAATTAAAATTCAAATTGCGCTTTTAATATTCCCACCATTATTTCTAGGAAATTAAAATTTAAGATTTAACAGCTTTTCACTGACTGCTTGATTAATCGATCGAGAGAATTTTTTTTCAGTGACAATAAACTTATAAAATATTTCAAACTTCATACCTGAAAAAAGTTCCACAATTACTTAGCACTTTTAAAGTTTGAAACTTTTTTCCACTGTTTCTTTTCAGCTCCAGACCTAAAACTTATCATTGTTCCCTAGGAATTTATATATTCAACGCTCGTAAACATCTGGCACCTGAACAGCAAAACTACAAATCACTCCAACGGTTTTTCGAGCATAAGTGAGACTTTAAATGGTCATAAATAAACGGGACAGCTACGAAACTATTAGGAAAATATAAATCCGAATATATGATTTATGTTTTGAACTTTAGCGTTTATTTATTGTAGATTTTTAAACTGACGTAACTTAATCGATCGCACTGGCGCAAATGCAAACTCTAAAATTGATGCAAATGAATAAAATATCTCATTGCGCCACTGTCGGGTATTCTCAAGCGATTGTACTCCAGAGAAATTTAGTGAAAATTGACAATTATTTTGTTTATTTATTTACGATTGAGTTTGGAGCTGGTCATAAAAGCTAATTAGAGCTAGATAATGGATAGTTGACAAATGAATTGAGCTCGTATTCTGGTTCTATCTTGAATTTCGAAGGTAATTGAGCCGAGAAATAGAAAGTGGAAATCGTAACTGTAAGGTGATCTTACCTTTAAAAATAAAAAGGTTATTACCAGACAATTGTATTGTCAAGGTTATTGTCAATTTTAAAATAAGATAAAACACTCATATAAAAAATATTGTAACGCCTAGCCTTGCGCTGCCATAGCCACTACCGTTGCCGTAGCCATAGCCACTACTACCATGTCTGACAATTGTCATCAATCAGTCAATCAGTCAGTCAGTTTCCCCGATCAAGTTACGAAGTTCATTATCAATTAGGCAATCTCAATCACGTGATTTTATAATGGCCGTTCGGGTCAAATATTGCGGTGACAAGCCGATGACGTTCATAAGGAGAGCATTTGTGTTCTGGCCCTTGTTGCTTTCGAAGTGAATTTTATGTGTTTCTACGTATTTTCCATTGGTTTTGGTCATATTGTTGTTTTCATAGTGAATTTTATAGTTTTTAGTATGTCTACGTATTTTTTAGTGTTCTGGTCCATGTTTACAAAGAGAATTTTATAGTGTTTATAATGTTTCTACGTATTTTTTAATTTAATAATAAATTCTGAGATGGAGAGTGAATATCTTAAGGTATTATTATTAAGGGAAAATCGAGCCTCTGTTAGATCCTTTCTTTTAATTGCAGCAATCCATAAAGCCCTGCGTTGTTTTGATAATTCACTTTTGTAGATCAAAAGCCGATGATTTAAAATAGCAGCAACTGAATAAAATTTCACATTAGCCCTGTTACCTCAACTTCCACAACCAATTACGATGCAAATCGCTGGCATTTTAATTAACACAATACCTAAACACACAAAAAAACACAAAATCCGATAAATCACATCTTGACGTTTGTCCAGAATGTGACAGAATCAATGACATATAGAATTAACAACACAGTGCTTGACCCGAACTTCCATATTGAATTTCGATTTTGACAGGTCAGTAGATTGCCTAATTAGGTTGAGGTAACAGGGCTAATGTGAAATTTTATTCAGTTCCTGCTATTTTAAATCATCGGCTTTTGATCTACAAAAGTGAATTATCAAAACAACGCAGGGCTTTATGGATTGCTGCAATTAAAAGAAAGGATCTAACAGAGGCTCGATTTTCCCCTAATAATACCTTAAGATATTCACTCTCCATCTCAGAATTTATTATTAAATTAAAACAATACGTAGAAACACTATAAACATTATAAAATTCACTTTGAAAACAAGGGCCAGAACACTAAAAAATACGTAGACATACTAAAAACTATAAAATTCACTATGAAAACAACAAAATATAACCAAAACCAATGGAAAATACGTAGAAATACATAAAATTCACTTCGAAAGCAACAAGGGCCACAACACAAATGCTCTCCTTATAAACGTCACCGGCTTGTCACCGCAATATTTGACCCGAACGGCCATTTTAAAATCACGTGATTGAGATTGCCTAATTATCAGTAATTATTGCTAATATTTTGCCGACTCTGTATTTTTTTTTCCAGTTAAATTGTCGAATAAAAACATGAAAAACATGTGTAGTGCATAGTGTTGGAGTTCCCTCCGATACCCGCTATATATTTGGCGCCCAACGTGGGGCCTGGGGTTTTATAGTGAACCACCACCCTAATGACTTTCTGGACTAATTTTGTGACTGCAGAACAATGAACTATAGAACGCGAGACATTATCAGTATATAAATGTGCATTAATTGACTGAATTGTGTAAGTTTTGCCACATTCGGTTATTGTAGCCACAATTTCTGGAATATTCCACACAAACTGACATTACAGTTTCCTGTGTGTTCCAGTTTGTCCTCATATTTGTGCTGACATTACAGTTTTCTGTGTATCCAAGTTTGTCCTCTATTTTGTACTCACATTACAGTTTCCTGTGTCTCCGTCCAAGGTTGTTCAAAGGGTTCCTACATTACAGTCGCCTGTTTGTCAGGATTTAACCGAGTTTGCTGTTGCTCAACACTACATTTCCATCACTTAGCTTTCTCCATGTATATGCCTTATAATTTTGATCGTCCCAAAAAAATCGAGACAAAATGGGTGAGCCTGTTATTCTGACGAATGAACATTTACAAACATTACTCGCTGGTATGAGATATATGTTTCAGAATACGCTACAATCTACTTCGAACCAAAGTACAGCTGCCAACTTTTCTAAATGCGGCTCTGGAAAGCCAGACGAAGATGCTGAAGCTTTTATTGATGCCATTACTATTTACAAAGACTGTCTGATCATCAGTGACGATAACGCTGTAAAAGGTTTACCCATGCTACTGGATGGCGCTGCTGCAGTATGGTGGCAAGGCACCAAAAAGCTAACATCTTATGGACTGAAGTTTTAGATGCGCTATGTCATGCTTTTGGCTTTAACAAACCAGCACATCAGATTTATAGAGAACTGTTTTCTCGAGAACAAGGCAGTACGGAACCAACGGATCTTTTCGTGAATCAAGCCCGTGCACTGCTTTCAAAGTTGATAAAAATCACGACCTTGCCAGAGGAGCACAAGAAATGGTTTATGGACTCCTTCACCATAGAATCAGGAAAAAACTTTCTCGACATAGTTTCCAGAACCTTTCGGAGATGATCGACAAATGCAGAGCAATCGAATCCAGCCTTGCTGAATCCAACGTAAAAGTGACTTCCACGTCCGTTGCAGAAAAGCCCAAAGACCGGTGTGCATTTTGCAAAGCATATGGACATGTTCAAGCTGTTTGCAGAAAATT